GAGTTCCTGCTGAGTGTTTCCAGCAGAAAATCACATCCTTTTTTGTAGCGGAAAAAAGAGAAAGGAGTACGTGAACTTAGTAAATACAGGGTTGGGGGAAAGTCTTTGAACAATTTTTGATGTCTCTGTATGTTCGGCTTTTCCACAAATTTTTGTACGCTAATTTTATGTGTTTGCTTATTGAACCTTTGAGTACAAGCCCTCAAAAATCTGGACTATCAGCTTTTTTCCTATTAGAGATGTGCCTTATGGAACGGAGCGAGCGTTGGCGGAGAAGATGCACAAGGAGAGGATGGCCGACCGCAAATTGCGCGGGCTCCCCAAATTACACAGATCCGGGTCTTTTTCACTCTGCGTCGTTTCCAGGATATGAAAAGCACCCAGGACTGCTGTTTGAGTGCTAAATTGGCTACTGCGAACAGTAACGAGATTCTGAAAATCGTTCGCCAACGCCTTCGTCGCAATCCTCGGCGAAGCTTGATTAAACTGGCTTGAGAGCTGTCCATCTTTGGAAGGACAGTGTCCGGCATTGTCAAAGAGGTCCTTGCGATGAAGCTTTCCAGGATGCTAAAATTTCATGCTTTTTTGGAGGACACGAAGCTGCATTGACTGCGCAGATGCCATCGACTGCTTGAACGTCTCTCCAAGGCAACAGCACTTTTTTCCGACGATAAAATTTTTACCGTAAAACAGGTTTTCAACCTCCAAAAACACCAGAATCGTATCCTAATCGCTCTGAGAAGCCATCAGCAGGGGTTGACTCGCTAAAGTGCCTCATCCGGCTTTTCCGATGGTTTGGGTGGCGATCACTTCCGGCGACAAGATGCCACTGTTCTTAGCGCTTCAGGGAATCAAGGTGGACGCTGCTACATAGTTGGATAGCATTCTGAAAAAGCAACTGATGCCCTAGACCAATATCCATTTTGCAGGAAAAAAGTGGTGCTTCCAGCAGGTACCGCACCTGCGCACACAGCAAAGGTTGTTCAAGCATGGCTCCAAAGCAACTTTAAGGTCTTCACTACTCTTGCGGAATGGCCTCCGTTTTCGCCCAATCTGAACTCCGTCGACTATAGCGTCTGGTCATTTCTTTAGGCCAAAGCCTGCGCTCACCCACGCAAGACAGTGGAGTCTCTGCGACTTGCTCTTCAGAAGGCGTTGGAAAAAATCGACGTGGAGGACCTCCGTGCCACCATGGACAGCGTTCCCAAGCGTTTTTGAGCTTGTGCTGGCGTCAGAAGAAGAATCTTTGAATTGTAATGCCAGTTTTGTATAGCAGACAGTTACGTAAACATTACCTATTGATTTCAGATCATCTTGCCTAGCTTCATCATTACGTCAAATACCGTGTTCAAAGACTTTCCCCCAACCCTGTATACATGTACCACTTACCGTCAAACAAACATAACTATACAGTAACACTATGACTAGCAAAACAATTATAATCTTTGTAATCAGCATGTCTTGTTGCTTATGTGAGCAAAGTGACACACCGCATGACTATGATATTCTGCTTCCAACAAAACTTCATTTTTTTTCTCAGACGCCTCTTTGCAACGCTGTGGGCCAGCCCCTTTCACACATAAAAGATTCCGGTAAGGCGAATCGGAAAGAGTTGTTTCCGTAGATAATCCAGCGGTGAAAAGTAGACGGAGACATGCGTTATAAAGCGCGAAAAGAGATGGTGAATTCTGCAAAAATCACGCGCCTTTAAATTCTACTCGCCATAACTTCCTCCAGAATAAGTATGTTCTGAATCCAAAAACGGTGCTGTGCTCAGCTCATCAAGGCGAATCTTTTGGTGTACAGCATGTCCTTGATATCTCGATTTCGGTATTCTTGAATCTTTCTGCGGACGTTTCTTCTCGAAGGTGTATAGCAGCGAGCATTGTCCCGAGTAGATTCCAGCAGCGACCTTCTGATAGCACTTTTTCTGTAGATTATGATGCGCTAAACAGTAGCCGCAATTTTCTTTTCAAAGGAAAAAGATGGGCTGGTGAATTGTGGAAAAATTTTGTCGTCCCAAGTTCTACTCGCCATAGCCATAGAATATGATGCTCTCTTGCTTAGCAGATGTGATTATCGTAATCAGCAGGTCGGATAACCACTACGAGCAAGTTTTCCGAGATTTTTGGGTTATTTCATTTTTTCTCGTTTTACGCTCTGGAAGTTCGTCGATGGATTTTGGTCAAAATGTTGATGCTCTTGAATTGTAAGGAAACTTCGCTTATAGAGGTTTTCGAACACGCTCTTTACGAAAATCGTGGTCTCTGAGGATTACAGTGTCTTTTTGGAGAGATACGGTGAGGTAACTGTAACTGCACCACAAAAGTGCGTAACTTTGCCCGCACTTCTCGCGTATCTCTCAGAAACCTTGCTTGCTTACTTTTCTAAGTTAAAGTGACTAGGAACTGAGCTATCGAATGGTGCATGAACCGGGCTCCAGTCTATAAAATGCGCCGAGTTGCAAGCCTACGAAAACACGTCCTCATGAAATTTGCACAAAATGTAAAGATCGCGTACTTTGTTGAAATTCCACCGTGAGTGGTTGCATGACTAATTGCAAATGTTATGTTCACCCCGCCCGCGTTTTATACAACCACTCACGGTGGAATTTCAACAAAGTACGCGATTTTTACATTTTGTGCAAATTTCATGAGGACGTGTTTTCGTAGGCTTGCAACTCGGCGCATTTTATAGACTGGAGCCCGGTTCATGCACCATTCGATAGCTCAGTTCCTAGTCACTTTAACTTAGAAAAGTAAGCAAGCAAGGTTTCTGAGAGATACGCGAGAAGTGCGGGCAAAGTTACGCACTTTTGTGGTGCAGTTACAGTTACCTCACCGTATCTCTCCAAAAAGACACTGTAATCCTCAGAGACCACGATTTTCGTAAAGAGCGTGTTCGAAAACCTCTATAAGCGAAGTTTCCTTACAATTCAAGAGCATCAACATTTTGACCAAAATCCATCCACGAACTTCCAGAGCGTAAAACGAGAAAAAATGAAATAACCCAAAAATCTCGGAAAACTTGCTCGTAGTGGTCATCCGACCTGCTGATTACGATAATCACATCTGCTAAGCAAGAGAGCATCATATTCTATGGCTATGGCGAGTAGAACTTGGGACGACAAAATTTTTCCACAATTCACCAGCCCATCTTTTTCCTTTGAAAAGAAAATTGCGGCTACTGTTTAGCGCATCATAATCTACAGAAAAAGTGCTATCAGAAGGTCGCTGCTGGAATCTACTCGGGACAATGCTCGCTGCTATACACCTTCGAGAAGAAACGTCCGCAGAAAGATTCAAGAATACCGAAATCGAGATATCAAGGACATGCTGTACACCAAAAGATTCGCCTTGATGAGCTGAGCACAGCACCGTTCTTGGATTCAGAACATACTTATTCTGGAGGAAGTTATGGCGAGTAGAATTTAAAGGCGCGTGATTTTTGCAGAATTCACCATCTCTTTTCGCGCTTTATAACGCTTGTCTCCGTCTACTTTTCACCGCTGGATTATCTACGGAAACAACTCTTTCCGATTCGCCTTACCGGAATCTTTTATGTGTGAAAGGGGCTGGCCCACAGCGTTGCAAAGAGGCGTCTGCCAGAAAAAAATGAAGTTTTGTTGGAAGCAGAATATCATACAGCCGATTACAGCAGTTCAATAAATGAAAAGATTCGTCTCGGCGAGCTGAATCCAAATCTGCCTTCAAATTTGAAATCCATTCAGAACGAAGGGAGTTATGACGAAAAGACGCAAAGTCGGCGACATCGGCGACATCGGCGAATTCGGCGAATTCGCCGAAATTTTTCACATTCCACTGTCACAACTGTACACCAACGCTCCAACTAACAAATCGCTGGAATTTAAAACTTTCAAATATCGATTATGATAATACACTAGCTTTACAAAGCATCAGAGCGTTTGCTGCTTGGAAATATCAAATTTCGCATTCTACCTGTTTAGTATGAGGCGGGTTCAAAATTGGATATTATGATTATTTTATCGCCAAATGCTCCACGAATTGGAAAAAACGCCTATCAGAAAGAGGAGAGAAAGACGCATCGAATGACATCTTTGTGCTTAGTTTGATGTTCTGTGAGTTTCCGTATGACTAAAATAGAAATTGATAGCATCACAAATATAATTTAAAAAATTTTTTCTTTCCCAATCTTCCCGGCTGGCCCATCCGCTGTGAACACCTTTTCCGGTTTATCAGGCTCTCCTGGTGGTTCAGTAATACCTCTGATTCCTTGCTTGCCCATTTCTCCACATTCTCCTGCAGGAGAAGGTGGAGCAGGTTTTCCTGGTAGTCCGTTGCTGCCGCGTCTGCCGCGCTCACCTTTTCTCTTTGTGGGCCACGTCTCCTGCACAATGTGGCTGCTTTAACATTATCAATAGTCTGAATGGATTTCCGAAGTTGGCTCGCCCCGGTTCACCGACAGGATTTTCTCAGAACAGGGCATTCTCGGACGCATAATGGCCTAATATCTAGATCAGCAGGACGACCAGCTCGTCCTGGTTGACCTTCAAAGATTCAATGCCTTTGAAAGTCCACAAAACGAAATGTTCTACTGCACGTACCTGGCACCCCGTCCATGCCATCTCTGGATGTCCTGGATGTCCTTTGGGTCCAGGAAGGCCAACGCAGCACGCTGAAAAGATGCATCTCTGTTACGAAAATTCACAATTAAGAGAGATGACTTCAAAGGTCAAGAAGAATAAAAATGATGAGTCTAAACGTCTAATATTCAACAGACTTAAATGTCAGCTCCCTCTTCTCTCTTATACTTCTATGCAGCTCCACTTTCGCTATATCCACTTTCTTCCATAGTTCTCCGATGAGGTTCTGAAAATGTTTGGTTGAATAAAGCGTAATTACGTTTTCAAAATCATTTTAACAGAGTCATGAATTTTTTATTATGTTTTAGTAGAAAATCTATATTTGCAAGTATAAGATTATCATGACATCCAAAGTTTTATCAGTCGTCATTCCAGGATGACTGGTATGTTGAAGATGGTTACGACGATGGGTAAGTATACTGACTCATGAGTCAGTATCTTCAGAGGAATGCGGAGAATCAACGAGAATCACAGAATCACAGAATCACAGAATCACAGATAGCTAATGTGTGTGATAGTTGTTATGAGAACAAGGCTTTATCTCTTTGCTTCACAGACATTCTTTGTATTATGTTTATGTATTTGATGTATATGTTTATGTGTTTGCTGTATATAAGCTAGCGGTTAGAGATGGTTCACTGTCTTTTTTGCTTTCTTATTGTTTGGCCTTTTCTCTGCATGACTTTGCACGATAGGTTCTCCGCACCTCACCGTCAGTAGGTATTCACAGTCACAGTAACATCAGTTATCATGTAATTGTACTTAGAATAGTTGTAGGATTTAGTTTAGCACCTGTGCGCATTATTTGTTATTTGTTATCTGTCTTAATAAAGGTTTAATTACCCAAGTTTGAGATAACACTCGAACCGATTCGCGCACGTCCTCATACTCCCGCGTGGCAAGCTAGAGCGACACACGTGTCAATTCAAGTGGTGCATCGGCCGGGAAACCTATCATAGACAACAACCCAAGATAGAAGTATCTTCAGAGGAATGCGGGAACCACGGTATAGATTGCCTATATTGCGACCCAACCTTGAATTCCAGGAAATGAACGGAACGATAACTTCAAAAATACCACAGCTACCAACAGCGGAATTCCTACTACGCATCAAAGGGAAATTTAGCACGACTTCAATACGATCAGAAGTGGTATGCACAAGTAAAAATGCCCATTGCACAGGGTGCTATGAATGCACAAAGGGAGCCAAAGCCCTAATCACATGCATTTCCTCAACACCTGCAGCACGGGCAGAAATAGAATGCGGCGACGACGCATTCACGGTTTTGTGCTCACGGGAAGGTGCGCAAACAAATATAAGCTTCATAAGTCAAAAGGCCCAGTTCCACAGAAAATGTACTATTAAATGTGGGACAACTGTCAACTCCTTTGAGATTGCAGGACTACACTACACGGGAAACCTACACGAAGCGACGCGACCAGGGTAAAGCGGGGGGTATGGCACGCCACACCGGGGGGTCGTAAGGAGGGGGGGTAGGTAAGGGGGGGGTCGTATTGACCTAGGGTCAAACGCGGAAAGCTGACTGACTAGGTAATTTGAAGGAGGCACACCTCAAAAGCTCTTGGTTAACCAACTCCAATAGCTGTTAGATAGTTCGTAGATAGTCTTTAGACTAATTCTAATAACTTATTCTTTGTGATGCAATGCATTCCGCAAAATCCAAACACATTCAATGACACCGACTTTTCAATACCGTACACCTACCGTATACCTGACAAAGAGGCCCTATCACGCTGAACAAGTATCATTATAGTAGTTAGCATGTCGGATAACCCGCCATGTTTCAGCGAACTCTGAGGTGTCCGAGTAGTAAACGAGCTTGTATGAAGCAGTAATTTCAAACATGACTAACCTCATTTTAAAGGTGAGTAAGCTACCTCTTCTTGCACTCAATACAAAGCACTACCCCTCCCTTCCTTGCATGAGAAATCCCACTTCAAGAGACCTCTATGCTGTGGAATCAGAAGATTGCCAAATCCCACCTGCAAATTTCAGCGGCTGCCGCAGCTTTTAGAGGGGGGTGCCGCACTCCATTAACTTACCTTCAAAAGGCTCAAATGAAAGCCTTTTTCATACTGTTCTACTGAGCCATCCTTCCCCTCTTCACAGTAGCATTTGCCCCCCAAAGCGCGTCCTCTAAGAAAAGATACAGCGGATTTTCTGAACCCTATGCGCTGAAGGCACGGCTCTGAAAAGCGTTAAAAATATTGGGGTACGGTACGGTAGGGGTTGAAAAGTGCGGACACACCAAGGGCGCGAGCCACGACGGCTTTGAAATCCGCATTCTTCATTCTTCATTGCGGTTCATTCCCATTGATGTTTTTGTCAGTTTCTATCTCTCTAAAGGTGTTTCTTCGCGTAATGGATTTCGTTTACAAGCTTGAATACTCTGCATTATTTTCATTTCAGGTTTTTATCCACCAAAGGCAACTGGATCAGGGGAAGACTCTATTTACGAGTTTCTGTTAATCAGAAGCAGATCTCACTATCAGGTATGTTTTCTTTGATAAATTTTGAAAGATCGGCTTTTACTGCGTTTCACTTAAAGAAAAAGTTTTTTGTCTTCTGGGTGATTTAAAAATCACTGTTCGCATAGGTATTTTGCTATACCTTCTCTGCTACAAAACTAAGAAAAACACGTTAAAATGAAGATGTAATTCTCTAGCCTTTCAGCCTTGAACATTAGTCAGTTGTTTCATTTAGATGTATTCAAATTCGATCTACACTCGACTGCCCATCAGGCACTTATTGAGTGTCATGGAGACTCGTTACGATAGCTTTTCCAAAATCAGCTGTCATCTGGTAAGTTTTGACCTTCACTTTTAATCAAGTAAATCAATTTTTTTGTTGAGATTCGTCTGACTACGGATCTTTTCCCACATATGTTATCCACAGTGACAAGCTTGAAGATTGCTAAGTCACGTTTTATGGGTGTACCAATAACAGAGTCTGTACAAGAGGTACCATTATGACTTCCGGGTTTCTTTACGCATGAGAGATCAATTGTTTACAGTTCGAGAATGATTTGTGCAGTAAAGGTATCGCTGTGTGTATGAAGGCTGCTCAGAAGCTGCATAATGCACCACTGACGGACCAAGTGGGTTAATCTCTTAGCAATGATAAATTGTTATCTATGCAGAAATTTGGATATTATTTATGTGGTTCCATGGGCAGTGACAGTTTATGAGATTCTGTTTTTTTGTAAACCTTACCTTCTATATTTTGCTTTGTGCCCTACATTACTCGCGCATTCATATTTTCTCTCGAGAATACACCACAATTTTATGTGGAACTAATCGTGCGAGTTTGGAACCGTTTGGAAAACGTTATTCCCAGAATGTCATATGAGGTAGGTAGTTGATCATGTAGATCCCAGCGTTGATCTTAGGTGTGCCTTATATTTTATGAGCACTTCTTTCCTCCTCTATCACCGATAATCATGTTAAGGTACCTAACCTTTGATTCAACTGGCTTGGCACCATTAGGGCGGGGTTTTGTGATCTAAATGAGGCCGCTCGCGCCCGCGACGCACCTGCGTCTCTCTCGCGCGAGTGCTTTCTGATCTTTACCTAGCCTTAATTAGGTCACGAAACCCCGCCTTTGCCGATGCCAAGCCAGTTGCATCAAATGGTATTTGAGAACGCAGCGAGACTTAAAAGAAGTTTCGAGGAACGTCGTCGTGATGGCGCCATCTATTCCTACCGGGCTGGCTGCGCGGGCGGTTTGCGCGCGGCAGCCGTGAGTAGCGTTGGGGCGCGCATTGGATGGATATGACATTGCCATGTACCGCCTTTCATCGGCTCAAATGTGCAAACAAAGATTTTTGCGCCTATCCCAGGATAACGAAGGTGCCATCGCAGGGCGATGTTAATGAAAACATTGGTTTCTACTTCAGTAGCCGCTACCTGAGTTTGTATTGCCTCTTTGACTAGCGCAGTCGAGGATACCCTGCAACTCCTAAGTGCGCTTATTCGTTATTTGGGACTTATTGCTTTTCTACATATGAAAAGGGAAAAGGTTTAAAGTGTGTTCGTGGCTTCTTCCTAAGATGCGAATCTAATTGTTTTCCGTGATCCGCACATGCAAGCGTCAACATCAATTGTGTGCCGGTGATCCTATATGTAAGAGTATGCATCAAGACTTAACAAGCTAACATGATCCCATCATGCTGGATTAGATAAATAAGGAGGTCAGAAGGTATACAATAACGCTTGCGTCGCCTACATTTCGACATCAACGTTGTGGAATTCCACTAAATTCTCCAGCATTACTCAGCAAACTCAGCTTCGAGTAGCTTCTTAGCTGAATCCTTTGTTCCTTTGAACTTATATAGTTGTGTTCGCAGTTAGAACACTAATGCTAACCAATAAGAGGATCATGACTGCTAGAAAATATAAAACTCAGCCGACACTTTGGATAAGACAAGAAATGGCCTCCACGGATTCTACGTTTGTGTGTTCTTCGCACATAAGTATTCTTTAATGTATGTATGCATCCGTGATCGATTCATGAACATCATGTCAGAAGCGTTCGTAAAAGCAAAGTATTGCTTGGTGAACAATTAGCTTCAAAAATCCTACCTCTACTTGGTTGGAATCACTTATGAAACCGTTATAGTACCAAGTAGTGTAGATTCGAAAACTACTGTAACTGACTACATTCCGTGATTTGCAAAACCTTACGCACACTTCAAATTTCAATAAACAAGTGAGCATCAGATATTAGATTCACTAAAAATTCTGACTGTGGAACATAAGCGAACAATCTCATTACTTATGATTCAACTCGGTACACAATCGTAATGGTGTGACCCGATTAGCGAAAGTGAGCTTACTTCCACTATTTTGAAAAGGTTTGTTTTGTGATCAAGAGACTCAATGTCAACGAATGAAATAAGTAACCAGTTAATAACCTCTTAGCAACGGCAAGGAAATCCTTGAAAAATGATATATAGGAATAGTTCATGGGCGAACATTATGGCAGACAAGCTAAATGCCTTTATCAACATTGTTCTTTTTAGCTGGCATCTCATATGTAATGGAGTGAAAATCCTCCTCAGCACGTTTGGGTTAAGAGGCTAGTGTCTAACCTAACGTCGCAATCATGGGAGGGTTTGCGCGCCCCACGTATACGGGTGCCACGCGCGAACCGCCCGCGCAGCCAGCCCGGTAGGAATAGATGGCGCCCGTCGTGATGTTAATATCGCTGAGTTGAAAGAAAAGTATGAAAAATGGTGGACACAATATGAGAAGTTTACCGCTGCTACGAAAGGCCAATCAAAAGTACGTCCTTCTTGTTTATTTTGACCACTACCAACAAACTCTGTTGGGGCAATCAACATTAGTTCCTAAGGTAAGTGTTTTGAACCAAGGCTTACGATAATATTTTCTCAAATGATCAAACAACTTTCTCCTTTTGTCGTGAGTAATAACTCTCATCATGAGGAACAGATCGCCGAAATTTGACCTATTTCTATTGAAGGAGGAGTTGTCTGCTGCAAAGAAGGCATTGCGAGAGGAACAGGCTGGGCTTCTTGGAGCATTGGCTCTTCCAAATTTTGTGGATGAAGTTGGGAAGCAAGAGAGGCCGATGTCGAAATCATTGAGTAAGTGCAAAGAGTTATTGTCTATGAGGTAATGTGGCTTGTATTTCCTAAATGAATGGTACCTGCAGAACATTGCGATTATCTTGTGCAAAAAGGGCACATGCGAGTCGACAAAGAAATAGGAGTTTTTCATCTTGTGGGTTACCCAGTGTTAATTCGGAACAGCCTGAAGTATGTTTGAAACTTACATTTTTTGCCATTGTTCATTGACATTATTTTTCAAGACCCAGTTTCTCGAAATGTTCGAAGATGCTATCTTGGTATCGCTATCATACTTCGCGCGCGCGGCAATTCTGGAAGGCGTCAATGTGCCGGTACAAGACTTTGTAAGATTCACAGATGAGTCTGATACTTTTCCTCCGACATACCTAGGTAACTTACGGTTGCATTCTTTGTGTTTTTCAGCATTCTTTCAAGATTCTGTTATATTTAGTTTGAAATTCGCTCTGCTCGCTTGTCTCCTTGTTTATTCGCTCTCAATTTGTCGCGCAGAAGAATGCTTAACCAATCAAGCTTCAGAGCTCAGGTGTATCTTACCATGCAAAGGTATCAGGAGTAATTTCAGCGAAAATGCTAACGAAACTCTTGAATGCAGAATGACACAGTTGATCTCGCATATGGTCGCCTCAAGCATTGTATTCTTGCCTTGGCTATCAGTGACGAGCAGATGGATGAGTTTGCGAATGACAGTATGATTAGGATTGGTCGTTTGTATTATTTTAGATACTTCTCTATTTCTCAGTATTTGTTCTAGGAACATTGTTGGATGAGGGCCTTAAGCTGGATATAAAAGCTCGGAAGGTTACAGGAAAAGAATCACGAAATTTCGAAACTCAAGCAGTCGTGTTTGAAGACAAAGGCTTAGAAGTAGCGAGGGTAAGACCAAAGACTTTATCACTATTCACTTATCTGGTTTCCTTCTTGCAATCTCAATTTCAAGTATATTCAGAAAAGAGAAAACTTTCAGATTTCTTGGATCGGTGACTAAATCTCTCGTCGACTAAACATCACCGCCGACAACGGCGACTTTTTAAAGGATGGTCTATCTACATAGAAAAAAAATGTGGATCGAGTTCTTGCAAGAATCTTTGATAACTTAGTAAACGGGATCGATATACCCAAGAGCTTGCGACAAGCCGTGGGAAGCTCGGACGCCGTGTAATATATAGCGAGAGCAGTGGCGTACCCAGGATTTCGGCTCGGGGGGAGGGCGCGACAAAAATTTTTTTCTAAAGAAGGTGCGTGGCGTTAGCCACGCACTCCAAAAAAATTTTGGGGGTGCTTCTCAAAACTTTTGCGGGTCCTCGACCCCCAAAAATTTTTTTTACAATGCTAATTTGAATTTTTAAAAATTTTTAAAAATTATTTTAATTATTTACAAAAATAAACAAGTCACCTGCACATTTTTATAACCTATATGAGTAACTTTCAAAAATTTCGCGACCCACTCTCGGGGGGGGGGCGCCCCTCCCCCCCGCCTTCCCCCCCTCGGTACGCCACTGAGCGAGAGTAAATTGACAGGTTTTGACAGCATCTTTTCTGCCTTTGTTTGTATAAAAGGTGACATTAACTTAACGGCAATCGTCGATGAGCTACAAAGTTCATAACCTGCTTCATTTAAGAGTACGATGTCGTTTCTATAGGCTACTGCTGGACAAAGGTACAGAAGCAGTAACTGTTAGAACGGGAGCGAACGCGATGCCCGCGTACCTTTGTGAACCCTGCGCTCGATGCGGTCGGGGGGGGGGGGGGGGAGGTTAGGATTCTTTTCAAAAGATGAAGATGGAAGCCTGCTTCAACAATCATTAGATAGAGCATGGAAAAAGGGCCATTATTTTCGCATCAAAAAAATAATTATTTGAATCTAAATAGATATTTAATTCCAACTTTACTGTCCACCATACCAGCTATAAGCTTTTTGTCAATTTGCAGGAAAAGTAGTTGAAGACCTGCTCGCTACCGGATTCAAGATAATATTGTAACTTAAGCCCTAAGCCTTGCCCAAAATGAATCTTTGACTCCTCCCATAGAATGTTTGACATAGCGTAAGTTAGAGGAGAGAAATCATGCGCTGTTGTGGTACTTGAATAAGAAAGTCTTTGTTTCCATATCCCATAGCTACAAAATTTGATGACGACGAGCACTTAAATTGTCATTTTGTATTTCAGCTGCTAAAAATAATAAAAGATGAACAGCTCCTGGTTTTTCTCAACGACCTACCCCTATAACCAAGATGAATTCGTGCTGATCGCTCGTCTCTACTAAAACTCCTAATTTCAGGCCTCCTTTCTCGACTTTTGATTTTGTTAGAAATTGAAAAGAAATCTTAGTTCCATCAAATGCCCGTTTGAAAAAAGCAAAACCACTTTTGGAACGACCTAATAAAAAGATTTTCTATCAATATTCAGCCTCAAGGGGTTCCGATTATACTACCAGCGAGACCACAGCTTGCTTGCAGAGTTTTCTATAAAAAAGCAGCGCCTTTTCTATAGTACATGTAAATGCTTCCTAATCCGAAATCATTGAATTCTGAAAACTTGTCCTTAAGAAGTTCCAATATCACCGTTTGCCTACGGACTCTTATTTTTGAAAAAGCTGCATTTTCTGCAGTTAAAATGCTTCCCAATTCGAGATCATCACAAAATCGTCATAAAAAAGAATTTTCTTCAACTCTCAGCCTCGGTTCCGATTATACTACCAGCGAGACCACAGCTTGCTTACAGAGTCTTATATTTGAAAGAGACATTTCCTGCAGAATAAATTCCTTCTAATTTGAGGTTATCGTAAAATCTTCATAAAAAGAATTTTTCAATACTCAGCCTAATATTCCGATTATATCACTAGCGAGACCGCAGTTTGCTTACAGAGTCTCCTTTTTGCAAAAAGTGCGTTTTCTGCAGTAACAATGCTGGCCACTGTAAGGTTTTCAAAAATTTTTTAAAAAAGATAAGAGTTGCTTTCAAAAGAATACTTGGCCCTCATAAGCTTTGACCCTTATACCAGCGAGACCACAATTTGCTTGCAAAGTCTTCTTTTTGAAAAAAGCGCATTTTCTGCAGTAAAAATTCTTCAAACTCGAGAACATTACAAAATCTCCATAAAATTAAATATTTTGAATGCTTATCCTCAAATGTTTCGATTGTACTACCAGGAGACCATAATTTGCTTGCAGATTTTTCTATTTGGAAAGCAGTCATTTTCTGCAATATGAATGCTTTCCAGTTTGTGATTTTCACAGAATTTCCACGGAAACGAATATGAACACTTAGCCAAAAGTTCCCATTATCCTACCAGCGAAACCACCCTTTGCCTGCAGAATTTTCTATTCGAAATATTTGGAATGCCGCATCTAGATAAAACGAACTTTTTCTTCACTTGCCATACACCAGGACGTTGATATACGAACAGTCAATGTTACAAGAATTAAGACTTCCCTTTATGGAAGAAAAGTACCACTAAACCGAGTGCAAACGTTTTGAAGTGATTATGTCGCTTTTCCTTCAAGCATCAATCCATCGCGCCTTAGAAAGTGTGGCAACGAATGAGGCTGCGGATAGCAGCACACGTATAGAAGGGAAGCCACAAAAAAACAAGAAATTGAGGAAGAAAGTTGTATCAACTCTATTAGAAATTTTCAGACATAATAGACAAAGAATACAGCAGCCGTGCAAAACTTGAAGGCTAGCTGCAGTGCTCATAGTGACTACCATATTATAAAACATGTTGACTTGTACAAAAATGAATAACAGTTGATGCATGTGAATACCGTGTTGACTGCTAAAAATAAAATGTCGACTCGGAGTTTAAAGAGCGCGGCGGTGCCCCAGCAACCCGCCAGACAGATGTTTTTTTGACGTTTTTCCGCGGCACAGTCTCTAGTTTTTCCTTTAGCCTTGTTTGACGTCTGCGCGACACCATTTGTGCCCAGTTGTTCTTTTTTTCTTGCACTTTCTTTATCGTTAGATGTACTGCAAGGACTGTCCACATCGTTCTTGTTAATTCTAGCTTGCTTACTTGGCTCCGCTCGGCCCTGTAAAAACACTGTAATAAAGGTCCCATCCGTATCCTTGTACAGCCTTTCTCTGTGCTTACATCTACACTTCATTTCCCGTTCCCTGTGTTGTTTTCGAAATCAGCATGCCACTTGCCCTCAGCGCAAATTTTGAAAAATCGGTAAAAGTAATAGACAATACCAAAAACTAATATTGTGTCGCCATGCTTACTTACCCTCCTGTGCCAACTCCCAGCCCTGTACCTCAAGCTTTGCAAAAAATCGGTAAAATTGATAGAATTGATATTGATCGATAAAGAAAAGTAGCCTATGACACGCATCCCGCCCCGAAGTGTATGTGTGCCAAGTTTGGTCCAAATCAGTTCAGAAATAAATATTTCTATTCCGCGCATACGTACAGACAGACATACAGACACACATTCAGCTTTATATACAAGATGATATATTTATATGTTCTTCTGCTTTTTTCTAGCGGGTTGGATCCTAACCGAGCCGAATGAAAACTTATCCAAGGACTTCTTGCCGGTGCTGTAGTTTGACTTGAAGCTTTATCCTGAGCTTGTTTTCACTGTTTTCACTGTTTACTTTTTTTAGCTTATTTGAAATAAAGGGTATATGTTTTGGAAAGCTCAAATTCTGCTCCACAAACTCATACAAGTTATTACCTACTTTGCAGAGATAAAAGCACTGACATAGGCTGGCCCATGCAAGTCGTGAAAGGCTCGCGCGCATTCATAGCCTCTTCGGTTATGAACTAGAGTGCGTTCGGCGCATGCCGGCAACGGTACTGAAAACGCCGAATCCTTCATACTTTATCCTTTAGAGCTTAAAAAGCATTAAAATAAAAGATAGCCGAAGAAAGCGATGCAGTGAATGCAATGAAACCGCGATGCATGCGATAATGTGAGGCTGCTGCTGCTAGACACAACAGGCTCGGATGAGGACGCGTATGGCAAACAATATAAGCTGATAGCAATGATAGTGCACATAATAGCTGAAAATTTACTGTGCTGCGAACTCATGTCAATAATTCATTCATATCACCTTCTTGTATATAAAGCTGAATGTCTGTTTGTATGTATGTATGTATGTCTGTATGTACGTATGTTCCGAATAGAAAATTCCATTTCTGAGCCGATCCGGACCAAACTTTGCACACATACACTGCGGGCCCCGGCGGGTGTCATAGGCTACTTTTTGCCATCGATCGATATCAATTTTATCGATTTTTATCGATTTTTTGCAAAGTTTGACATGCGGGGCAGGGAGTTTGCGCAGGGGGGTAATCGAGCGTGGGGATTCCGAATACAATATTAGTTTTCAGATATATCGATTACTTTTATCGATTTTATCGATTTTTTTGCAAAGTTTGAGCTACGGGGCTGGGATCTGGCACAGGGGGTAATCGAGCATGCTGATTACGAGTTCGATATCAGTTTGGCGCTATTCGGCTAACCGGGCCCCAAGATTTTTTTGTGGTAGAGCTTGCTCAAACTTCGTGCATAAGGGTTATCTTAAGGGCCGGGCATAATTCAAGCGATTTCAATCGCGACGCGATTTGGCAATATTCCAGGTGTCCATATCTCATTGTAAGCACATTATAAATGTACAGAAGATAGCACATTTCATCAGTTTACGTAAGTTATACACACTATGCATGTGCAGTTTGCTAATGTTGGATCCGAAGACTTCTGGCGAATTGCCAAATCGCGTCGCGACTGAAATCGCGTGAAGTATGCCCGGCCCTTTACATGCTGATTACAGATATCACACTTTCTCGGCAAAACGTCTTCCCGTGTGGTTACGATAGGTGTACGGTAGGAAGTCAAAGTCATGAATTCGGCTGGAGTTCGGTCCATATGGCTTATTAAAAGGATAAAGGATAAAGGATTCGGCGTCTTCAATACCTTCTGCGGGCATGCGCCGAACGCACACTACTTCATGGTCGAGGAGGCAATTGTATGCGTGCGAGCCTA